GTGGTATTCTGTAGCCCTTTGCTTTAAGATGCTGCTTTTCTCAGTTGCAGGAAAGGTTTGGCTTTTCTTCTTTTCGCAATGCAGGGAAAAAGGAACATTGCATTCATGCAAGAACTTCAGTGTCTGTTTGCTTTAATGCTGGGGACGCGTCGTAAGTTTGTAGACCCTTCTGCAGCACTGGAACTCTTGAGGGATGCGTTCAGATCTGCTGAAGAACAACAGGTAAAACCCCGTCGAGAAGCCTTTCGCTTTCTTCAACGCAGCGCTCGCAGCCCCGGCAATCCCATCTCGCTCCATCCTGCCGTTACTTTCAGAGGCCTCTTCCCATGTTTGTCAAGTGACAAGCAGCTGTCCCTGTGCCATTTAGGCAGAATGTACGTGCTTGCTAATTAAACAGCCAGCATAACAGTGCTCTACCCGGCGCCATCTGGGTAGCGGTGGCAATAATTTCCTCCGATCTAGTTTCCAGATGAGCAGAGTGTTCGTTATGGGTGTAAGGCAGCACAGCGCTGCAGGTGCGCGCCCCTGGCAGCTGGGCAGGTACGGCCGTACCGGGCGCGCTGCGTGCCAGCGCCGTCGGGAGAGCAGCCGTCCGCGAACACGCGCTCTGCTTGGGATTCCGCTTGACTCCCCGCTTTTGTCTCCCTTCTAGCAAGATGTGAGTGAATTTACGCACAAGCTGCTGGACTGGCTGGAGGATGCGTTCCAGCTCGCTGTCAATGTCAAGTGAGTTTTTTGCGATCTCAGGAGTTTGACCTGACACCCAGGAGAGACAGGTTTTAAATGCGACGCTGTACTAAATGAGAGGGCTTTGCATGAGAATTCTAAGTGAGGGAGAGGGTTTGTTTTACTGAGGATGATGCTCCTGAAGCTTGAAATACGCTTCTGAAGCGTTCTATCTGCGTTTCCCGCGGATAAGCATAGGAGGTTATTCATTGCCAGCACGACCTGCAGAGGAAATAAGCGGTTTAGGGGAGCTTGACAGGACTGGTGTACATGAAAAAGATCTGGCTTTTTGGACCTGTATTTCAAAAGGTAGTGCCTTAACTTTTTTCCTTTTTCCTTTCCTTCCTTCCTGTAAGTGTTATAATGTGCTTTTGAGCATGAAAGCAGATGAGAAGCTTCCTGTGTACTTTGTGTTTGGACAGAAAACTTTACTTTTGCCTGTAGGAGGATTCCCGAGCAAAGGCTTAGGCTGTGACTGGGGGCTTTTCTGCAGGCCACGGCCGCAAATGAACGCGTGCTTTTCCTTTCTGAAACAGAAGCCCTGGGGACAAATCCGAAAACCCAATGGTGCAGCTCTTCTACGGGACCTTCCTGACGGAGGGTGTCCATGAGGGTGAGTAAAGGGTTCGGTAGATTCACTTTTTAACTCCTTTGAGTGTTTTGACTTATAGCAGCGATGGCGCGGGATTTTGCTGGGCATTCC